CTGTCTCTCAGCCAAACTCTCAGCTCACCAACAAGGTTGTTATGGACAAAATTAGAGGATGAAGGAAGGATATTCACCCCCTTGAGATATTTATAAAATAATAAAGGCAGGATACAATTAAATTGTATAACAATAGACATTTCTGGGGCAAATTGGCTTTTGCTCAGACTCTGCAAGTAAACAGTAACTCCGTTTTCATATTCACTCACTCATACAGTGCCCACAGAAATGTCACATGATTCAGTGAATCTTGATAGAGAAGCACATGCAAAGTAGGTTTATGGAGAACAATAAAGCGATATCAGTGCTTCTTGAAGGATCCCGAAATATGCCAACCTCCCTTTTAGTTTACCCAAAGATTAGGGAATTTGTTAGGTTTGCAAGAACACCACCCAAATAGGCAATTAAATGCATTTTTGCAAAAAGAAGAAAATCACCTCACCGAATGACTGCTAAGAGGTCCAGGTAAGTTTCAGTCACCCTGTCAATTTGCTCTGTAGAAAAATAGGCATCCTGCATAAAATCTCCTGCATTAGAGAAAATCCCATGTAGTGCAAAGAGATCACAGAGATTTTTGAGAATCCTCCCGATAGCAGATCCTTTTGCATGTTTCCCCAACTCTTCAGCAAATTTTTGTATCACGATGTAATGGCAATGAGCCTGAAAAAGTTAACAGAGAGTCATATCCCTGATCTTCTAAAGTCTGTATGTCAAAGATGGTGGGAAATATATCAATTGGAGAGGTTCTACTTCTACACAGTAGGGTTTCCATTTCAATATCTGCAATAGCTGATCAAAGTGATTTTAGTAACTGGAGTCAGAAAATTTGTCTGGAAATATTTTCACATATCTGTGAGGTACATTTGAAAGGCATGTTTTCTCCAAACTGGTTAATGTCCCTCCATATTTGGCCAGTTTGAGGTTGGAGGTGGGTGGCTCTAGACAAATCCCTATGTTTTTATTAGTAGGCCTGTTAAGCAGCATTAACCTAAGTAATCCTTTTTTGTCCGCCATTTTGAATTTACATTCACCTAACTCCTCGAAGAAAATATAACAGACCTTAACACAAGGCGTGAGATATTACTACAAAAAAGGAAAGTCAACAGAAAACTTAAGAAAGAACAAATTGGTGGACCATGCAGGAAACAGCTGGCCCTAATAGCTGCTTATTGTAAGGTAGGACTCTGTTCTTCTAACACACATACACACACACACCAATTTGACAATTGTTATAAGTCATGATTCACAGTCTGCCTTTGACTTAAAACAGGCATCTCCAACCTTAGCAACTTTAAGCTTGGCAGACTTTCACTCCCAGAGCAAGCTAGTTGGGGAATTCTGGGAGTTGAAGTCTGCCAGGCTTAAAGTCCGCCAGGCTTAAAGTTGTCAAGGTTGGAGACCCCTACCCTAGAATACTACAATGCTACTCCAGCTGAGCCTGTGCTTCAAGATTATCAGCTTCAGAAATCAGTAAACCAGGATTCAGTGGAATCATTCGCAATAGGGAGAAGGCAGATTAGGAAAAAAACTTGCACACCTTGAAGCTTAAAGCTTAAAAAATCAATGCCATCTTTCCCTTCCATTCTTCCTACACGAAAGGTGATTTTGCAAAGTGTGAATGGCCTTATTTTCCTTGGCTTCATTGCCTGAGCCTAGATTAATTGGTGGATTCTCAATTCCTGGTAAAATAACTAATTGGGAGAAAAGCACAATGTAGTTACCAACCATTGCAGCTCTTGCTAGTTGCACAGTGCACTGGTTCCAGGCTTCATGTTGTGTTTTTCCTGCCTGAACCAACTGCTGAAGCTTCATCGCTGCATTTCTTATAAACCTGAGAAGAGAAGAATACAAACAAATATTAACGTTTGGGGGCGGTGCTCATCTCCGTTTCAAAGCTGAAGAGCCAGCGCTGTCTGAAGATGTCTCTGTGGTCATGGTTACATTTCAATATGGATTGTTTTTCTGTACCATCTGTGTAAAGTTCTGACTATGTGAGTATTTGGTCTAATGTTAATCAGTGGAGATGATTGTGATGCTATGGGTAAAACATCTCAGTTGAGGTGTTTCATCAACAGTCCTGAAGTCATGGAATCTAAAAATATTGTATCCAGTGGCCTTCCCAGAAAGTAAGTTCAATAGAATCCTCTTTCGACCAATTATTTATGAATGAGACAGGGGCATCATTTTGAAAATAGAGGCTGATAGAAACAAAAGGATCAGCAGGAGACGAAATTGACTATGAACAGTCCTGCTAATAAAACTGGAGCCTTTGATCCTATTTACTTGGCTGGGAAAGCAGGCCTGCATGGAATCTGTTTGCTAAAAGTATCATTTCCTCCTCCTCCTTCTCCTTATTAGAAGGAGAGAGGAAACTGCATGCATGGCCATGCATGCATTCTTGTTTATGAGGTAAAGTGATGAATGATGGGGTAAATCACTTAATTTTATAATGGGAATCTTAATTTACAAGGAGTTTATGTTAGTCAGTAGTTAACATTTTACTTTAATGGGACAGTGGACAGAAGTATACACCAATATTTTCAGTATGGTTTCAGCTGCAATTGGCATCCTTAAATGGACAAGGCAGGAAAGAGAATTTTACACAAGATTTCTATTTTTTGAACACATACAGACACACACACACACCTCGGTTTATTCTTCCTTTGGAGATGAAGAATCATCTTCCTTTGGTAAGTATAGTACTGAATGACACGGTTTTTTTTTAATGATCGTGCGCCATTAGTTGGTGTCAACTCTTAGTGACAACACAGATTTTCTCCTGCTATTATATTCATATGACCAATTTGTTTAATCCTAAGAATTAGGGGAACCAACTGAAAAAGATATGAATTCTGGGAAGAAGCTTATATTAAGAAATAAGACCTTAGGCTAAAGTCTTCTGCCTCATCTTTAATTTTCTCTGATCTTTTACCATCCTACTATTGGATTGGCATGTAATAGATGTACCAGCAACATTCATTTACTGACGGTTTGAAGTTAAAACAGCACTAAAAAAAAGTGTCTTATAACTGGGTCCTTGCATTGAACAAGCATCACAGCATCCCTAAGATCACGTGATCAAAATTCAGCTGCTTGTTACTGGAATGTATTTACAATAGCTGTAGCATCCCAGGTACATAACAGATAAATCATTTGCGACTTTCCCAGCTGGCTTCTGACAAGTAAAGTCAGCAAGGGAAGCCAAATTTGCTTAATTGTGACTGCATGATTCACTCAACAACTGCAGTGATTTGCTTAAGGACTGTGTAAAAAGACTCATAAAATCAGGTGGAATTCACTTAGCAAAGACTACCTGTATATATTGAACCCTATTCCAGTTTCTTTATACCAACCTGAGAGCTCGATGCTTATAGGCATCTGTGTAAATATCAGGATTTAAGAAATCATTTTTT